TTTTCCTTGTCCCCCCCCCCCCCCCCCCCCCCCCTCTCTGCTTCCTCCCCCCCCCTCGCGTTGCCCGCTTTTGACGTCGTCCAAAAGGACATCGGCATGATCGACTCGGAGGGGCCGAATAAATGCGCTGACCGCAAGGCTGCGCTTCGACGGCAACAGGAGATCCTCAGGAAGGACATTGAGAACTTGCACGCCCGCGCAGTCCTCCAGGTATGTGGGCATCCATCGAGCGGGAAAAATTTGTTCAAGTTTGCGGGGGCTCTGAAAAGTGACGTATGGAGCGCTCTCGTGATGGTGCAAGTCCTAACCGTTGCTGCTGGCTTCTGTCGACTGTAGGAGAAAAGGCTGAACGGGCTGGGAGCGGCCATCCCCCCGCACGCCGCGCGGCAAGCGAAACGGGACCGGGAGTGGAGGGAGTTCCTCGACAGGCGGACGAGCGACTCCTCCGCCGCTACCGCTGCTCCGCGACCGTCGGCTTCTGAGGGGGTGAGAGTTGACGTCCATCCTCATCTTGTCTGCTGTGTGTGTTGTCTTCACGTCGGGAGTCGTCCTGGCCTTCACCCTGGGTCTTGGGGTGTTCCAAGCGGTTCTCACCGGTTCGCCTGCGTTGCAGCCCATGGATAAAATGGCCTTTTTTTTGTTCCTGACAACAAACACGACAGCACGGTGCCCTGTATACTCTTTTTGGTATGGGGTGTGAGGTTATTGTGGAACAACTCTAGCTGCAGTGCCGATCCAAAATTCTAGATCGCGGCATCGCAATCTGTGGTGCCCAAACCACACTGGCCCCGTACGCCAGTGATTTTCGTGCGCTTTCTGGACCGGGACAGCGGTGCAAAGTATGGCCATAGGCTCTTTGAGGACATAAAAATGGAGACGTGGCTGTTTTCTTTTCCATGCGCTAGTTGCGCCGCTGCCAACTACTCGTGTTTAGAGGCAGCAGAAAGGTGTCGATTCGAGGGGCCTTTGCAAACCCATGGAGGGCAATGTGATGTTGATCCAAAATTCTAGCTTTTTGCATTGAGTTCTCTGGTTATCCTTTTGCCGTGGGGCGAAGTCGCGAAGGACGTAGTCCCGCTTTCGGACCGCAACGGACTGCGGAAGTTGGACACCAAGAGAGCTGAAAAACAGGGCGTTCGCAACAGCAACCGATCGGCGTGATGAAGCGAATCTCGAGCAGAAAGCAAGAGCACGGCGTGAAAACTGCTTGCGGACGTAGGTTGGAACTATGTTGGACTGGTCTGCTGGTTTCATGGAGATCGGAGGTCTGCCAGTAGTACCAGTGGTGGCTAACAGGGTGACCTGAGGTGGGCTGAGCAGCAAAAAATCAGTGCGGTTCCGGAAAATTGTGGAGGCACCCAGTGTATTTTTGTCAGCATATTTTTTTCATTTTCCATGGGCTGCAACGCAGCTGAGTTGGAAAGAGTGGAACTTGTCCGCGCCCCACATGGTATTCTCTACCGGGTTCCGGACATTTTTCGTAGCAACTTAAGTTTTGTTTTCTGCGACTGCTGTGGACCGTTTTTTGTCTTGGAATGACGTATGTGGAGTTCAACAAGTAGCGGTTCGGCATGCGGGCTTGTGGTGTTAGGCAGCTGCAAGTCCTGCCGCTGTCAGCCTTTCTCCGCGTCTGTGTTTGTAGTGCCTTTTTTCGTGTCGGGAGGCTGCTTGTGCTACCATGTAGTAGCTTTGTTTTCTTCCGAATCTTCGGAACATCCATCCTATGGCGGTGAACAAAAATATCAGCGATTGCGCCTTTCTCCAACCGTTCATATCTTATCCGTGTCCTACCATGCCCCGCGGCACCCCGTTGGGTGTATTGCCTCCAACACCGTGCCTATCGCATTTCCGTCAATCTAACGCGCGTTTGTTATTGCTTTCTCCCCCCCTCCCATGTCTCCCCAGAGCGCGAAACACCCTCCAGCTTCCCCCACCGCCAGTGGGACTGCAGTCCCTCCCTCCTCCGGTGCAGCTGCCGCCGGGGCAACTCAAGCCACCCCTTCCTCCGCCAACGGGGGCGACTCGGGCTCATCCCCTGGTTGCTGTTCGTTGTCTCGCGGGAGCGGTGACCGGGGAGGCGGCGCCGCCGGCGTGAGTTCGTCTTCGCGAGCGTACGGGAGTTCGGCGTTCCGCGGTGTTAACCTGAACGGCAACCGCTGGTTGGCGCGCATTTCTCAGGCAAGTGGCGTGACGAAGCAGAGAGAGGCCTACCGCGTCAGTTGTGGTGGCTTCGTCACACGTGCGGCACGTCGCGGCCTACATTTTCTCTCACAACCGTGTGTGGATAAGAGACTAGACGGGAGTTGGAATAGAACACAATGCCTCCGACGTATTACGTTATTTGGAGATGATGGTATGTACACTGGTCACATACATCAGGATGGTCAACGCGAGGAAGGAAGTCGATGGACTCTGTTTGGTGTGGCTCGCTGGTGGCTCTTGAACCACCAGCACTCGCCTATTTAGCTGTTTTTCGCGTGGCACATGCTCACGAACTTGACGCAGGGACGCATCTATTTTTTTTTTCGAAGGAGGCATGTATACATGTATGGTATGTCACAACCCTTGGTAGCCTTTTTGTTGAGCTACGTCCACATGCCTTGTGCATCTTGTGGAAATGCCGCACTTTTTGTTGTCAACTGTTGTTTTTTTATTTATTTCTCGTCTTGTTAAACCGTCAGCCGTGCCTGCCTTTTTCGCGTCAACAGGACGGGAAGAAGAAGAGCCTCGGCGGTTACGCCACCGAGGAGGAAGCGGCGAAGGCCTACGATCGCGCCGCCTTGGAGCTGTTCGGGCCTAGCGCCGTTACCAACTTCAAGGACGGCAAGCGGGTGCAACTGGAGGGGAGGAGTCAACGAAGCGGCGGCGGCGGGTCGGGGGGGGGGTGCAAGCCCAAGCCTTCCCCGGCAGCCAGACCGGTAGACGCCGCCAAGGAACCGGTCGAACGACCACGCGAGGACCAAGACAGCGGAGACGCGGTAAGCAGCCAGGAGGCATGCTCGACTCCGGCTAAGCCGCCGGTTTCCAGCGCGGAGAATACGCCCGACAGGCTTGAAACCCCGCCGGAGGCGGTGGCGGCGGCATCTGCTGAGGAAGCCAACGGTGGTGCTTCGGCCCCCGAATCCGAGAACGTCGACATCGGCGGCAGCACACCAAGCGACCCCCCTTTAGGGGTGAGGGCAGCTGACCACGCTGACGAAGAGGAAATGGACGTCGTCACGCCGGCGGCGACAGCGGTGCCCTCTCCCGAGAAGGTGGTGCCGTCGTCGGCGCCCGAGTCTTTGTCCGAGCCGGGCGTGCCCCCGGGGTACGTTTCCGTTTTCCAGGGTCACTCGGCGCCGGTGGTTGCCGCTGCCGCGGCCTATGCCAATCCCGGTTTCGCGGCCCCGGCGCCCGCGGGTTCTGCGGACACCGTGATGTGGCCGGGGCCAGCGCCGGCGGGGCACCCGGGGTTCAACCCTTACGGCGCGGCCTCGGTGGGAAACGCGTACGGCCTGCAGTACGGCGGGGCGCCCGCGGGGTACAGGCAGGCGCACCACTCGCCCACCGGCATCGCCTCGGGGCTGGCAGCGGCAGCGGCGGCGGCGGCGGCAGCCGCTGCGGCCGAGCACAACCAAGCGCTCATGAACGGCAAGGGGCCACCGGCGGCGTACCCTGCCGCGGCCCGGGGCTACGGGATGTACGGCGCTCACCCTGTGTTCTTTCACGGGCAGCAGCCGGGGTCGTCGGACGGGGCTTCAGGCTTCGCCCTGTCCGCGCCATCGGCGATGCCGGGGATGACGCAGCAGCCGGGGACTCAGCCGGACCAGAAGTCTGTGAACCCCCCGCCCAAGGCGCCGTCTCCGCTCACCGTCGCCGCCCCTTCGTCCGGTGGCGCTGCCGGCCAAGGGTACTCCCAAGCGGCGCTTGTGAATATGCATGCCCGACAGCAGTACGCCCAGCAGCAGCACGCCCAGCAGCAGCACGCCCAGCAGCAGCACGCCCAGCAGCAGCAGCAGCACAGTCAAGGGGGGCACCTGAACGTAGCGCAGGCGGCGGCTGCGGCGCAGGCCGCCGCGGAGTGTGGTGGTCCCGGCAGCCCGGCGAGGTTCATGTACGCAGCGGCGGCGGCGGCGGCAGCGGCAGCGGCGGGGGGGGCACCGGGTGGCGTCTATGCTCGCGACACCGGGGGTGCCGTGCATCACCACTACCCCGGGGGCGCGGGTCCGGTGCCCCTGGTGGCGGAGCAGAGGCAAGAGCGGCACCAGGCCCTCGCACAGCAGCGGCAGGAGGAGCTGACGCTCGCGGCCCAGCAGAGGTTCTACGACGAGTACAGGCGAGCCAATGGTCTCGAGTCTCGCGGGGGCCAGGCTCCGCGCTAGAGTGCGAAGGAACGAGGCGGTGAGAGAGAGGATCTTGACCGGCATAGTCCAAGTAGGGTTTTTTCGCGATCGCGGCGCTCGAAAGGGCGGTTTGTCCGCGCACGAGATTGACTCCCTTTGTCGGACCAGGCTTGTGAGAGCTTGACCGCCTTAGTCTGACCGGGGTCTTCGGCTATCGCAGCGTCCAAAATGGCGGATAGGCTACGCAAGACGTGAAGTCTGTTGAGACGAAACTGGCCCCTCGCGCGGATGACGCGTGTGTGTGTACCTCCGGGCAGTTAGTGCACGGATTCCAACTCTCGGCGCGTTTTTTTGCCCGAGAATCGCGAGAGCGCAAGGAGAGCAAACGCAGCGCTGCGGCTGACAGCATAGAGGGGTTGAGTCAAGCGTAAAGATCAGGGGGAGCACGAGGGTGTGATCGTTAGTGTCGTGCCGCTCTGAGGATGGGTACCACGGTTAGAGTAGGAGGGGCCGTGGAGCCTCCTGTCTTTGGCAGCAACACACCGCACGCAGCAGTATATACGACGTGGCAGCGCTTGGTTGGCCTGAGGGCAGCAAACATGAGCTCAACACGCCAGATAGAGAAATACTCGAGGCGACACAACAAATGTCGGTATTGATGATACCGCTGTAACTGTCGTGAGAATTAGTAGCTTATGTGTTGTGCCGGGTAGGCGATCGGTTAGTGTATGAACGAACGAACGTGATCTTGATGTGTTGAACGGCTGATAGGCTTTCCATGTTTTTTCGATTACCTGTACGTTATTTTAAGGGTGGTGGTGTGTGTGGTTGCTATCTCTAGGGGCGGTCGCCGTTGAGGACGTACTGTACCGTGGTGCCGCTGTTAGGCTCTCACGCGTCGGGAGGGTAGAAAGGAGACCTCATTTTGCTGCGAAAAAGGTGGACGACGACGCACCAAAACATGTAAGCGTAGCTCAGTCAGGCGTATTGTGGCGTGGCTCGATGTTGAAGCGTATTCAGTGGTACTTGATGAGCACGTCAATGCAACCGTCAGCAAGAGTGGTTCAGCATGCTCGGTGCGCTTTTGCGTGTGTTCGGGTTCTCGACATCCCCCCGTGTGTACTACTCTGCTGTAGAGCGGTTTTGAGTTCAACACTGTTGTACCAAGTCTACTCTGATGACGGCGTTTCGAAAATGAAGCGACACTTTTGGCCTTGTTCGTCTCGATGCGAAGTTGTTGTTGTTGTGGTGGTGAAAGCAACGTTCCCAGCACAGCCTTAGCCTTCCCTCGCCGGAAAGCTCCTCCCAACATGCGGAGCTGGGAGAGAACGTGGAGGGAGGAGAGCGACATGATGGCGCGTGCCTTCGGAAACGGAGGACTGGCGAGGGAGAATTGAGTACAATAGAACAAGGAAATAAATAGCTACAACTACAGGTTTGCGTTGTCAGCGGATGTTTTTCGAAGACACTCACTCGTTAGCTGCCCGACTCGGAGGGGGGGCGGACGTTTACGATTTGTTGTGAGATATCCGCGGGTCACTGTAAGAACGGCTGGGAAATTTTGCCGATCCTGGGAAGTGTAACTTTTTCGAATATCTAGGAATTTGAATCCAGGTGTAAAAGAATCACCCTACAACATTACAACGCCCTGGATACACTGCAAAATGAGCCAGACAGAAGCGAGAAGCAGGAAGGAGTCTGTTGTGGATGATGGATCATACCTTTGGGGGGGGGGGAAGTTGCGAATTTGAGAACGAGCGAGAGAGAAGCAGGAAGGAGTAGATACCATCGGGGGGGAAGCTTGCGAATTTTCTGATCATAAGGTTCCACGATGTATTTAGTGAGTGGTGCACGTTGCTCTTTTCGGCGTGTACGAATGGATGGGTGAGACACACAAGAAGAGGACAAAAAATGTCCTTCTGTTATGTTTACTTCCTAAAAAGAAGAAAAGTGCGAAGAGCTGACGACAGCGAGGTGAAAAAGGAACAGGTGTGACAACTCGGGTTTGGTGCGTTCCGACAAGAAAGAGAGGATGACAACACGCTCATCGTGATCATCGCCGCCCCGTCTCTTAACCTGCAAAAATGTTTATTCGAATTCCAACGAGCGGTCCATCCATCAACATGATCCATGAGCTACATGAAGTGCCGCGTACCTGGTCCCAGCACCGAAATGAACTTGAACACGCCCTCCTAGGTACCCGCGCTACCACCACGGAACCCCCATGGACATGTCAGGTTTCAGGTTTTAGCAAAACAACAAAACGAAAGCTGCAGGGCACAACACATAAACACACTAGAAGGCCGGCGAGCCCCAACCACTACCGCAACAACACGGGAGAGGGTCATCGTCTGGGTGGAGCACCTCGGCTCAACGTCGGGGCTCGAAAAGTAGCGCCGAATGTCCCCCAGCCCGCCGCCTCGCTAGAACCTGCTCTCTACACAAGGTGTCTCAGTAACTTAAAACAAGGGAGATATCGTTCGGGGTGACTCGAAGAGGCGACGACTTTTAGTCGGTTGAATGCCTGCCACCACTCCCAGAGAGAGAGGAGCAAGGCGTATCCGCACGAAGGCAGCTCAACGGAGGCCACCCGGGGGTAGCGGCTCACTGGCTGCCTCGCATGCGGAGCCGGCGCCGGCGTTCAACGCAGGCATCAACCCGCTGTACGGGTCGGGGATGTCGCCGGAGGCGGGGGCAGAGGCAGGGAGAATAAGGTCAGCGACGGCGGCGAGAGAAGCATCGGCGGCATCATCATCATCATCGCAACCGCAACAACAACAACCGCGGGCGGCGGCCGCTGTACGGGCTGCTCGCACCCGGGCCGCCTCCCCGCAGTCGACCCTCACGACATCAACGACTCAGAGCACGGGAAGCGCGAGACTTGCCAGCAGGCCGCAGGGGGTAGCTGCTCCTCCTGCAAAGGCAACGACGACGGCCGGGCCGAAAAAGCAGCCTCAGGAGGCGAGGAGCGCGCCAGCCTCCCGCAACGGCAGCATCAACAAGGGCAGCAGCGGCAACAACAAGAACAACAAGGAGGACTTCGTGCCGGCCCCGCTGGTGCCTGCGCTGCTGGCGCCCGTGCCGCCGCCGCCGGCGAAGCGGAGAGCCGCGGCGGACATCGAGGCGGGAGAAGCCGGAGAGGTGCTCGAGGATGCCCCGGACAAGACCCTCATGGAGATGCTCCAGACTTACCTCAAGAAGCAGGACCTGTACACGCGGATGGTGCTGGTGGTGGTGCTGCTCGTGCTGGCCGGCGGGGCGCTCGGGGCGTACGTGGTGATGCTCTGGTACGCCATCTCTGAGAAGAACGTCAAGTACACCGTGCTCGTGTCTGTCTTCAGCGTCGTGCTCTTATGGGTGCTCTGGAAGGTGAGAAAATGAGGAAAAAGATAGTATTGGCGTAAGGTTTGTTGTTACTGGAATTTAGAATTTAGAGTTTGCGCGTGGGTACACCAAAGGTGTAGAGAAATTTGTAGTATTGTCATAACCATCCACGGAACCTGCTCCAAGCTACAGCATGTGAATGATGCCATGAACCCCCTACACGACTCTGCTGTGTTGATGGCTTTCGAAAGCGTGACTCGGGTGCCGTTGAACGCTTTTGTCCCGCAGGGCATCAAGACAAACCCTGTCGAGCATATCACCCATGACCTTCTCTCTCTTGTACTACTTTTTTTTACTCCGCTGCATACTACCCTTTAATGTGCACGCGAGAAAAGAGCTTGACTTTTGGCCTGCCTTCGCATGCCACGTGATATGTGCGGCTGCCAGACGCTCCATAGTTTGGGGACAGAGGGGCCAATGAAGGGCGGATTGTCTACTGGGATGCTATTGGAGTATTTATTTTGTTGGCAAGGCGGGCAGTGTTTTTATTTGTGACCGGTGCAGCGTCATACGCATATCTCATGCGAACGGTATCTTGTATCTTGTAAACCCCGTGCGCGTTGTTACCGTGTATGACACAAGATAACACACCCCCTGAACCGATTTTCAAAGCTCGATTACTCCACGTCGAAGATGATGTATAAACGAAACGATACATTTTCGAATAGCTCTTGACGCGACGGTTCAACACGCTGTGAGTGTTCCTGCAGTTGAGAATTCGAGCTTCGAAAATTGGTCAAGGGGGTGTGTTATCTTGTGTCAAATACGGTATTCGCGGTTTCTCTCCGAGGTGCGTTGGGCATCGAAGCTGGCTGTCCATGCCATCCTACGTACATCGCGCCAGGATGCAACGCACAGCCGATTAGAGTCCTCTTCTTAGCAGGTGTTAGGTTAGACAGACGTACCCCTGTAACACCAGTAGCTTGCCTGTACGAATGGCCTATGGATGCTACGTACAAGCTGCGCTGTCGCTGCTTTCAACGATCAGGCCCGACTGATGTACCATCCTGCAACCGTATCATTGGTCCATCTACAACCCGTGCACGCACACATGGGTGCATCTGGTGTAAAGGCCCGAGACACGCGCCAGACATGGTCTCGATGTCGGAATGACCCCGCAGCAGCACCAGCAATTATTTTGTAATAGTCGAATGGTATGCCACGCCAAAACACGCTCTATTGAGACAGCCTCTCTTCCGTTGACAACATTATCCCCGAAGCCGCCATCCTTTCGAACATCAACTCTTTGCTGCTGCCGTTCATTGGAATTTGTCGTGTCAGAAGGCATTCAAGTATTATCCCGTGCGATGTATGCATATTATATCACACAACAGAGCAAAAAAGAGGACAGGAATGAAGTCCGCGGCAGGTCAGGAATGGTGCTCTGTTTTCACTCTTCCTACCGCTTGTCTTTACAGTGTAAAAATTACCAGGTACCCAACTTGCCTGTGTGCAGTGTGTATTGTAGTGTTGTATGCATAGCTACTCCGAGACAATCACCGTTCAGAGACAATACGGGAAGAATGTGCAAGTCTTGACAACACCACTAAACACAGTTGACCTACGGAGTTGCTTTAAGAAGGGCTGCACTGAGTGTTTGTGCGGTCCGACCACTGAGGAACCGGTGAACCCAGCTATGCATAGCTCCCTCCGCTTGTTTATTTTTGCGTGCGCCCTCTGCACAAGTCGTCTTGGATAAGACACACACATCCTAGTGAGACAAGACACACGTCTAGGGCAAGCTCATGTCCTACAGGAAGTAGTACTACGCTGCACGCTGGTGTGGCCCGTTATGCATTACTCAATCATTTTTTGTGATCGAGCCATATATATACCATGTATTTGTGACCCGCCGCTCGGGGTCTCCATCTACCTATCCTATGTATTCCACAGGATGAGGTCTTCGGCCTCTCTCCTGTATATGTGTAGTGTACATGTTTTTTGGCTGTACTGCTGCACCGTGCAAGGGGCATTTACTTCCGCAAATGCAGTAAACATCGATAGAGTGATACGAAACATACACAAATGGAAAAATACACGTAAAACACACACCAAGGGAAGTTGTATCGGGTATGCCGCAGGAGAATAATCCTCTGTGTTGCGTTGACCCAATGTGCACCTATGCTAGCTAGTTGCACCTCGACTAACTTCAAAGAGGGTGGAACGCGTACGTCCCCCCCCCGCACGCACAGAATGTTCGCGCAAAAGGTGGAACATGTACGGTCCTCCCTGCACGTACAGAATGTTCCGTGCAACTTATGGATGCCCCAGGGTTATTGCCGAGGCTTTGTGCATACTCATTCTAGAGCCGCCGTAATTTATTCCGGTCCCGCGGATGACATCCTTTGGCAGCAACAGCAGCAGATCTCCTGCGCACTTGCTTGTAACGAGGTGCTCCTCCTGTCAGTCCTGGTGTGTGTTTTCTACAGCTTCTCTTTTCCCCCTTTCATTGTAGCGTGTAGATGATCGAATTCCACGGTCACGAATAGTGTCCCATGCTCTTGTTACCAGGGCATGACACCACACTATTACCAAGGCATGAGGCCGTGTCTTAACGCTCTAGACCAAACAGGGAATAGGGAACTCGGAATTCCCTCTTCACTGTTTCATTTCGTTGTGTCTAAACATACACCGCATTTCCCGGGAACAAGGAACATCTCAGCGCCCGTGACTGGCGCGCGTGCGGCGCGCAGGTCCTCAAAGGCAACAAAAACAACCACTGGATGCAGAAAGACGAGTGGGAGGTAGAGGAAGGAGGAGATGGTGTAGGTTTCGAAGGAAGCTGTTGACCAGCACACATCGGGACGTAAAGACACGCCCTGACACCACACTCTCTGACCAAGGCATGACACCACACTCTATTACCAAGGCATGACCCCACACTGAAGATGAAAATGAAGGTTGCCCTCTCATCCTGCATCGTACCCGTTTGCACGGTGCTGCGGCAGTCAGATCTGCTTGTGTTGGCATTGCTATATGTAGAACGATCGCCCATGAATGCCCGCGTATATTTGTGCAACGAGTGTGTGCCCATGACGTCGCCCAGGCGTCCCCCGCACGCTGTTTTTTGCAACCATGCACATCGCAACGCTCCCCCCTTTTTTTGTCAAATCTTGTGGATAAAATAGTCCCCAAAACATAGCATATTGTGAATTCATTTACCGTGCTAAACATACACACGTACTGTCAAATTGTCTACTGCTGTGCTCGGACCACAGTATTGCTTCAGCGGCGATCAGAAGCTTCAGGACCAGTCCCAGATCGCGCAGGACATCGCCACCCTGTACGCCGCGATACCCGATCACACCGCCGTCAAGGGTGTTTCGGAGAAGGGCCGGGCGCAGTTCACGGACTTCAAGTACGAGAAGTCGGAGGTGGGTCTTGGTCTCCCCCTAGTGCCAGGTGGCGCCGGAAGAGAGGGGGGAAGGCGGCACGCTGTCTTTCTCCGCCAATCCCGCTCCGGCGATCCTGCTGCTGTTGTGAAAGAAGTTGTGGATTCCGTCGCTCTACGGGGTCGTTGTTGCGCTAATTTCATACTTGTACATCTCGGTTGCGAGAGGGGGTGCCGTAGTTTCATCAGTCGGGTTGCGGGGGCCAGATGACATCCATGGAGTGGGATTGATTTCTTTTTTGGAAGGAAGAGATCCGAACGCTTTTCTCGGCGCGAGGGGGGGATCGGGCGGCGCGATACCGGGGCGGCTTGTCTAGCGCTGGAGTACGTTGGACCATCTGCACGATTTTGTACGGATGGGCTGCCAACGCTTGTCCGACGATTCGCCTCCACCGTTTGAGCGAAACGCTCCAGTAGGCTCTCGAAGCAGCCCCTCTGGATTGTTCGTCACGGAGGTCTTCTCCCGCAGTAATCCCTGTCGCTATCCTGACCTGTGTGCCAGGTACGGTGAGGGGGGTTTACCACTTAACATCGATTTACGGGCATCGTGTAGTGAAGTGGAGCGGGCTCATTAGATTCCGGTTTTTTCATTCCAAGGAGGATAGTACATGTTGTCGACGTGCAGATTATGAAGCAAGGCACCAAGTTAGCTCCCCCCCTCGCCCCCCCGCTTTCAGATGATGTTCACTGCTGTGACGGACGACGGGGTGAGTTTGGGGTCCGAGCGGGGCTCAGAGCTGATGATGGACGGAGCCGACCCTTCCTGCCCGCTGTGCAACAAGTGAGTGCCCTGTTAAGTTGATGGGAGAATTGCGTTTTTGTCATACTAAGAGTTGCGACTGAAGGAGTATGTTGCTTGTTTCGTGATGTTGCAGCGTCGCGCTGGTGAGAGCGCGCGTTAGTTTCATTGCATAGGGGCGGTAGTTGCATCGAAAAGCTGTTTAGTGTCGCGTATCTTCTGCGGTACCGTTCGCTGTTTGCAATTCTCGTGGCTGCAGTGTAGGTTCGTGTTTTTCTTTTCTTTTCTTGTCTTCGTCCATGGAAGTTTTGCCATCGAGACGCACCCGGCACCTTGGAAGAAGCTGGGATTATGCAGGGGACGAATCAGGCGTTGCTGGTGCCGTCTTGAAACTGCGAGGGGTTCTCGGGAACAAGCAATAGTGCAATTCAATTGCTCGTTCGTTGTAGACGATCACTGCTGTATCTGTGACCTCAGAGCAGTTTTTGGTATTGCCGGGCGCACGCTCGCGTGAGGTCGTCATCGTTGACTTGCCATGATCCACCTGACGTGATCCACGAGACAAGCAGAGATCCAGCAAAGTTTCTGATCGTATAATGAGTCGACAACTACGGTGCGAACCCAGCCCCAAAGCGTATCTAGTAGGGCCCTCCAAGCATCCGTGCCGGTTGACGATGCTCCGAATTCGGCACGAAGTATTTGTTATCACTGATAACCCGTTCTTTGCGTGATATCACAGATCACCCTTGCGTCGCGCGGAGAAGGCTTTGGTCTAGAAGGCGCTTACCTGGCCTCGTGACACAACATTTTGTTCTTGAGGGCTGGGATAAACCGGATGCCTACTGTTTGCTGTATGTGCGGCATTTCAGACGGCGCGTGCGCCCCACTGAATTGAAACCTGACACTGCCTGGTCTCTTCACTCGCATGGCCCCCTCACTTGCCTCGCTTTTTCCCAGAGTGTACGTGGAAGGGGCCGAGCTATGCCTCCTCCCGTGCCTGCACGTGTTCCACAAGACGTGCATCAACAAGTGGTGCAATCGGCACATCGTGTGCCCGCTCTGCAAGCGCCACCTCGAGGCCGCGGAGCCCCTCCACACCCTCACCGCTTCCTACAACCACCCCGGTGACAACACTGTGCAGTCGGAGCCTGGCCACCGCGGCTACGGCAACGGCCAGCAGCGGCACCAGTGGCGCGGCATGCTCGGGAACGCCGCTCCCGGGCCAGCGAGTGCGCACGGCAGCGAGAGGGGGCTGGGCGGGACCAGGTCGGAAGACGGCATGTGGAACGACCGTGTCCTTAACGCGGCGCAGCGGCAGCAGATGGGCGGGAAGCACAACCGGGTGACCTCCTTCAGCTCGGAGACGAGGAGGTCGAACAACGCGCGCGGGCGACCCGGGGAGCGGGCGGGGTCCGGGCGCGGCGGGGGTCCCCCCCACTCGAGCTCGGCGGGAGCGGGCATGGGCCCGCAGCGCCCCCACAGCGTAAGCGGCTCGACGGGCCGGCAGCAGCAGCAGCAGCAGCAGCAGCAGCAGCAGCAGCAGAACCACCGCCTGCAGAGGAAGCGGTCGTCTTCCTTCACGACTGCGACGGAGCAGCAGCGGGGCCGGGGAGGGTCCGGTCGCGTCGCGCACGGCACAGCGAGGCATCGGTCGAGCGCGGGCAGCCTGGCCCGCGGCGACTTGAGCACCAGCCCTCGCTCGAGGTCCGACCTAGGGGTTGGGTCGAGGGAAGCGGAGAACATGCGGGCGAACTCGGACGCCATTCTCAGCCGGCACGCGGGCCGGATGAACAACGGGGCCGGCGGAACGAAGACGCTGACAATGAAGCCCATGTTGCACGATGATACCAGCTGGACGGAGGCCTGGGACGCGGATGGCAGCGGTGGCGGGGCCGAGGAGGTCAAGGGGGAGGCTGGTAGGAGGATGGCCGCAACGGCGTCAGCGTCCGGTAGGTCGGGTTTGCATTCGAGCCGGCAGGGCCCGGCGGTCATCACGGTCCACAAGGTGCAGCAGAATACCCGGAGCAGTAGCGGCGGCGGCCGGAGGAGGCCTCGGAGGGAGTCTGGCGGAGGGCGGAGGGACTCGGCGCGGTGGTCGGGCGGAGAGAGCGAGTCGGACGTGGGCGGCGGCGGCGGCAGCCCCGAGGAGGACGAGGTCACCACGAAGGCTCTCACGTACGCCCCCCGCAAGTCCCGCGCGACCGCCAAGGACAAGAAGGACCCCGGCCACCGCCGCCAATCGTCCACCGGCAGCACCTCGGCGGAGGAGTTCGGCGGCGGCGGCGGCGGCGGCGGAGGCGGTTCCTCCAAGAAGTCCCGTCGCCGGCCTTCGATACCGGGCCCGAAGTCAGGGTCCGGCAATCAGAGCGTGATCGCCACCGCCGCGGCGACCGCCGAGGCGGTGTCGAAGCTCCTCGGCCGGTCCGCGCCGGAGGACCGCTCCTCGGCAGCGGCGGCGGCGGCGGCGGCGAACGCGGGCGCGAGGCGGTCCTCGATACCGTCGGACGGGTACAGCGACGGGGACAGCGGCTCAGACGCAAGGGCGTCGTCTCGGCGGAATAGCCGGGGATCATCCTCTTCGGTCCGTGCAGGCGGCAGCAAGAGAACCGTCCACCCGCAGCAGCCCCAGCAGCCACAGCAGCCACAGCAGCAGCCACAGCAGCTGAAAAACACCCCGACGAAGACGGGGCCGGTCACGAAGGGCACCCCGGCCCCGCCTATGGCCGCCGCCCGGGTGGCGACGTGGAACACCACCTCGGCGGCGCTTGCCCCGACGGTGGATGTGTCGCAGTCTCTCTCGATGAGCGAGACCGAGTGCTCCGGTCCTGGTTCGAATCCGGCAGCAGCAACAGCAACAGTAGCAGCAGCAGCAGCAGCAGCAGCAGCAGCAGCAGCCGAAGGAGGAGGAGGAGGAGGAGGAGGAGGAGGAGGAGGAGGAGCGCAGGGAGGAGCAGATGCTGCCGCGCCCGACGCGGGAGGCGGCGTGGGCTCGTCGCGAAGCGCCGAGATCAAGGGGAGCGCCGGCCGAGGGTGGAGCTTCAAAATCCCCGCTTCCGTGGGCAGTGCCGAGTTTTTTGGACTGGGGTCTTCGGTGCCCGGCACGAGGAAGAACTCGGCCGACGCGGCGAGCGGCACGGAGGCGGCATTGGCGGCGGGGGCGGGGGCAGAGGGAGACTCGGACAGGGAGCGCGACGGCTCCTCATCCCGGTCATCGTCGTTGAGAGTACGGGTGCTTTCCAGAAGGAAATCGGGGTCCGGGAAGGTCGGGGCTCCGGCGGGCCGCCTGTTCGGGTCGAGCACCGCGCGCGTCGGGAGGCCACTGGGCAAGAGCGCTTCCGGCGAGGCGGGGGCTTTGGGCGTGGAGTCGGCGGGCGAGCACGCCGGCGGCGGCATCGGTTCCTTGCGGTCGTCGAACTCCGTGCAGGTGAGCTTGGTGTTGTGTAGGACAATGCGTGTTTCGTGTCGAGTCTCTCGTCGAATACGTGTGTGCCGACACGCGTTTCGTTTGCGTGTCGGCAAGTTTTTGTAACGCTATTTGGAGGGGATGAGTCTCGAGGCCGGTAAGCAGCGACCCGACAGAGCCAATCAAACGCAAGGCTTTGCCGCCGCAATATTCGTACTCGGGATTTCGATCGTGAAGTTGAACCGGAGAGGCTTCGATGTTCATCACGCCAGCGACAGAATCTTAGCTGCTGTAGACACGGCGCGGGATGTCTTGGCCTACCTAAGTATTTGTGATCCGGGGCCATGGCGTGGCACGGGTTCGTTAATGTTGGTGGAACCACACCGCCACGGAGCCCCTTTGACTCTCACTCACCCCTTGTGTGCTCGAAAGGTTGAGGAAAGTGGGCAGTGTAGTTGAGCTCACATGTGTTACGCGCATCTTTTCCTCCTTGCCGTATTCTCCCTCTTCCACCGTGCCCTTTCCAGCATGACATGTGAAAGTGGCAGTAGCGTTCTTTCATCAAAAATGAAATGTGGAAGGGGCGGTCCAATTTGATTTTTGCGGCGGTGGGTAGTGGCGGTGGTACCGTTGCTGGCGAGCAAGTGCTACCCCTTGGTGACCTTACCCACCACTGTTGGTGCCGTTTGAACCGCAACGCCTCCCCTCCCCGTTCAGGCGCTGATCCAGACGTACGAGAAGAAGGACCGCTCCAGCTCGGACGAGAAGGCTCCGACCGCTCAACAGGAGGAGTGGCCGTTACCGGCACCGACCACCTCATCCACGGAGGGGAAGAGGAGACTCAGCAAGACTTTTGGCAGAAGGTGAGAGCGCGTAGCTCATGTATGCTGCTGCTGCTGCTGCTGCTGCTGCTGCTGCTGCTGCTGCTGCAGACCGGCCATCCTTTGAGCCGGGAAGAATGTCGCTGCTCTGTTGCATACAAGCCCCCCGTTTTCTCATCTACAGGGTCCCTTTTCGCACGTGCAGAGCGAGCGGGCCCTCAACCAAGAATCGTAAACGAATTTGCATTGTTGTGGAGAATGTATTTTTACCACTGTTTTTCGAAGCTACCGGCGTCGAGCACAGGTTGTTGTTGCAAAGTAGTGTTGAGTTTGGCACAGGGTGCTCGGGCGCAGCGGTGCTTCTTAGCCAGCCCTGTTTTTGTTGTCAACATTTTTTTTCGCGAAACCGTGGAGCCTCTATTTTGCCGCGCAGTATTTCTTGATTGCGGGCCAAGCCGCCGTTCCGTACACGTCTTCCCACATGATCCGGGAAGGTCGTTGGCCAAGTCGCTAGACCCCGATTTATGGGAACGAAATCTTGTCGATAAATCTTGATCTTGGCCAAGATCTGCCAGTTTCACTATTAATGGCAGCGAAATCTTCCGATATATCTTGGCCAAGATTGCTCGAGGCCCGAAATCTTCCCTTTCGAACAAATCTTAACCCAAGATCTGTCGAAACGAGATTTCCGACATATCTTGATGCGGCGTAACAAATCTTGCCTGGGTGCGGCGCGATCACGTAAGGTCAGTCAACCTATTAGTCCATAACGCCATGAAATCTGCACGTGGCAAACTCGCAAGAGTCTCTAACGCACCCTGGCGTCACTGCGTCGGCGCCACTGGCGCCGACAGCGAACGGAAACGACCAAGGCGCGCGAAAAAAATGCGTATTTGCCCTGGCTCGTTCCACGTGCGTCATCACGAGTCTGTTGAGGGACCGTTCAAAGAGTATTTTATTTTGAAGTAGAAATATAGAGGAGGAGGGACGTTTTGCCAACACAGCTCTGTCGTGCGCGACGCTTCGATTTCTTCATCGAAGCACCCCACGCGCAATCCCTTTGCACCCGAGCCAGATCCGTGAGTGCAGATGACATCGCCGGAGGTTTGACCTCGGTACGCCTGCTACGTAGTGAGATACGTGCACACGTCTGATCGGCTTGGGGTTGATGCCCTTTCTTGTCAGTTGGACAACAATGGCACAATTTTGTTTGTCCGCTTGACATGAGCTCGTGAGCAACGGCTTCTATTTTGCACCTCATGTAGCCGCCCTTGCTAGTATCCACCCATAGTGTTAAAGCAATACAGCTGGGGGGGGAGGTGCTCCTTCTACACGTCATGGTCACTTTTCGCCACGCCTTGGCAATTTCTGTGGACCAAGTGGCCTTTGTGCCTTAATCAACTTCTAGCAGAAGAGAGGAACAACTCGCCGCTTGTTCAACATTCAACATTATTCCCCCACAAATCGCGATACTGCAAATCTTGGTGGAGATATATTTGAGCAAATCTTGGGTCAAGGTGCCAAGATATATTTGCAAGATTCTGTTTCCATGAAGAAGGGTCTTGCCCGCGGGCTTCTAAAGGCGCCCTCCCTCTGGCTACTATACGCATGTCTTCCGAAAAAAAAAAACTCCTGCCCATGTTGCTAGACGAAGGGGCACGGGATCAACTGCTAGAGACGAGCAAGCAGCAACGGAATCGGAGATCGACGAGGAGTACGTGGACCGACCGAAGCTCAGCTACAAGAAGAAGTCGTCGCGCAGCAGCGTTGCCCGGTCCGTTTTCGCCACCGCCGATGGCCCGTCGACCCAGAACGCGATACACGCGGTCGAGTTCAGGAGCGTTGGCGGCGGGAGGGGAGGCAAGGCGGGCGAGACTGCCGGTGACTCGGGTGGAGGAGAGGACGACGATGAGCCTTACCAGCGGCCAAAGCTGTCGTACGGGGGAGGGTTGCGTTCCGGGTCCTCTTCCCGCTGACGGTGGGTTTCGGTATTTCGCGAAGCGTCAGTGCCGTGGCGATCAGTGTTTCCTCCTTCGACGATTTCGCGTGCATGTATCGCCATTTCGGGTTGCAGCGAAAGGGAGTCAGCGTCAGTTTTGGCCAGCTCGGACGTAAGGAACGTGCCGTAGTCAGAGATCAAACGGTTTTTATGTAAAGAATAAAGGCAACCGTCAGCGAGAGTGACGTGTGAGTGCAGGAGGGAGCCACGCGGGGAGATGCAACGAGCAAGAAGTGGGGGGGCGGCGGCGGCTTGTTGGTAGTCGGACACGGTGGGATTTTGCTTGCGAAATACGTGGAAAGCGAAGGCGTTGGCCTACATCACTGGCGAAGTCGATGCCTTTCTTTTTCCAGGCAAAGGCTCGCGAGGTCCAGTACAAGTAGGCAGGGTGCGCTACACCTTCCAACCTCTTTCTTCCTGCATATATTTGCGTCCGTGGCGATTTGGAATCGTTCATTCCGTGCAACGTCAATGCGTTGTTTCCGTCTGTCATGCCGCTCTACCCAGGCCAACTGCAGGGGACCCACCCACCTTCAAAGAGGCGTTGCATTCACCGGAATCCCCGCGTGCGTTCTTTGAGCTGGGCATGGTTGTGGGGGAGGGTGGTCGCACGAGTCGAGTCGGACATGGTGGGAAAAGAAAAGGTGGAGAAAGTGAGAAAGAGAGAGCTATTACAAAAAATGGTGCAACAAAACGTGGGAACTGCGCTGCACGGGTGGTTGCAGCTCTCTTTATTTTCAGTGTGCTTGAGATAGCAGGCGGTACTGCTGTTCGTCCGCCTATTTTCTTGTTGGAAACTATGGTGGCGGTGGCCTGCTCGTGCCCGCATGCCGCTGATATTTATTATAGGCGTACTTGGTTTCGCTGTTGAGTATTTTCGACCCTTTTACTCGTTACCGCCAGCTCCCCTGGTGACCGAGGTTGAAATGTTGTTGTTGGACGTGGGGAATTGGGTATATACAAGTGTTGGCTTCTCTTCATTTTCGTGTCAGAAGGAGTTCGGGTTGGAGGGAGAGGCGTTTTGATGTGCCCAAATTTCCTGCCTGGCCGGTGTACTGCAGATGTTTCCGACGAATATAGCATTGATAATAACGAACATGGTGTTTTTTTTTTCTGCTGGTGCGTGTACGTGTGGGTCGCGCAACCTTGCCGCCTTTCGTCCGTCCTCTCCTGTATCCCGCCGATATTCTGCCGCACATGTGCAGCGCAAGTTGATTGGTCGTTTTTTTCTGCTTCGTTTTTATGTTGTCCAGACTAGTCAAGTCCCTTGACCCTACTACGGCCAATGTCTGTATCTATCGACCGGCCCGGCAGTCTCCCCTCTTCCCTTCGCTAAGCGTCAGCGTGCGTGTTTTGTGTACGTTGAGTCGGTGCCTTTTGCTGAAGGTGAGGCGGGGCCTTAGGCTGGGCAGAGAACCCGACCTAGCTGGGAACTTGTTTTTTCCTTGTGGTTGTTTGTATGTTATCATGTATTGTTTTCGTTCCCTTCCGAGTAAGGCAGAGTAGAGACTACAAACGATAAGGGGAAGGGCCAACGCGATTGGGATATATATATAGGGGGGGGGTTGGGCTAGACATCCGACGCCACGTTCAAGTGGTGTGCTCGAAACAGTGCTCTGCTCGTTTGTGCGACGAGTGGACGGTTGTTGCAGCAAGGAGCGAACAGAGGACCGACCCTTATCTATTGTTAGGCATGTTGCATCTCTTTCGTAGGGGTTGACGGTTTGTTTGTGGTATTGAGGCCTGTTTTCTGTTTCGCTCTTTCCTTGGGCGTGCTCGTGCATCCTTTTTCCTTGGTTTGATCAGATTCACCAGGAATAACATTTTCGACGTTTTGTTGTATTTTTCCTGTGTTCGTCCTCTTTGAGTTAGTCGTGCTACTATAGCCAGCTCAGTCAGATGGCGCGGCCAACCTTTGTGCCCACCATTGAAAGATAGGAGCGAGAATGGTGTTATTCTTGGATCCTACATATATATTCCCAGCCGTCGCCTAGAAGATTTTTTTCACTTGTTAGGGGGGTCGTAATCTAGCTGCAGAAGGGCACCACGTACAGGGGGCGTATTGATTCCGGTTCGACGCAAACGTCTAGAGTACACGTACTTAAAAACGAGGTGATGGTGACGTATACGGCACTTGAGTGAAGAGAATATGCGACTCGGCCGCGGAATCAAGTCAATTGCCGCTCTTGGTTGCGGATGGATGCGACCGCGGTGAACGAGGTTGGGGGTAACGCACGGAGGGGACGGGGGGGGGGAGGGGGGCGCGATAAGCTTGGTATGATGGTTACCTCAGGAAAGCTCACGCTTGGTCAAGTGAGGGCATGGTGGATTTTGTGTGCGGCCGTTTAGTCTGTCTGGTGGTTGTGTTTGTTGTTGGCGGGGTACGACGCAGCTAGCAGCTGCGGCGGCGGTGATGATGGATGATAAAAACGTCGGCCGCAGACACCATCATCGTATGGTAGATGTGTTTCCTCCCGATTGTGCTCTAGAGGGAGGCCTACAGTAAGTTTCCAATGAATTGACACTGACACGTGAACGCACACGAGCACTAATTTGGTACCTAGGGTTGTAACCGCGCCACCTGGTTCATTTCAATGACACGGAAACGTGCACGCACACGGGCGCGTACTTTTTTATTTACTTTGCTGTGCCGGCCGGCTAACTATAGCCACCACCTCATTCATTTCATAACAAGTTGATTGGTAAATTGAGAACTGGATGGCGTGGTATCCACGAACCAGACTGACTTGAAGAACTTGTCCCTACCGACACTCTGTCTTCTAGACTGCACTGACTGCTGAAATTCGATAAACTCCGTAGTAAGTAGTACACGAGATGAATGCGATACACGAGGCGCTAGTATATAGGGTTGAGCAGCGCATGACTCCCTTGTGTGAGTGGTCTAATTGCTAGTGCTTTAAGTAGTTGTCAGGGCTCCCGATGACTTCATTCTGTGTTCATTCGAAGCAAGTGCGCCCACAACCTCACTTCGCAGAGTGGTGGCGTGGGTGAGTGGGTTGTCGTTCCGCGAAACGGTGACAACGACGTTCGCTTGTGTTCTCCAAGATTTGTTGCCTCTCTCTCACAAAAACAAAATGGGCAAAGGAAGAGGTTGGTGATCAACAACACGACTGACTCTAAAGTTAACCTTGCGAGGTGCCGAAAACTGGTTGTGTGTGCTTCATTCATCATCTCATCATCTCGTCATCACCCACATGTTATGTGGTACGGTACGCACACAATGTAATGTGTCCATCGGATCGATCGAAGTGATGAATGAATGTTTTATTCCCATTCACTGCGTCCATGCATATTAGTATGGCGGGGAAGGAGGGGGCATATCGTGAAGTGTGCATCTATCTTCATGTAATAGTCACCGCACAGGATCGTTTCCGCCTCCTCTACATCTTCGTGAGTTGAAAGACTGTACCCTCCCCGAGATGTACGTGTAGTGTGCATTCTATACTCCCGACGAGGGGACTTAGGGTGTGTCTTACNGCTCCTTTTACTGTTCGGTGAAAAATTTCCCGCTTTTTTGCGACTACCGGAGCAGACACCGGTCACGCGTGCTGTCTTCATCACACCACACCTAGACAGCACCACCAACACCCCAAAGTGCTTCCCAAGGCAACTGCACTACCATGCCTGAGCGTGGGAAGCGTCAAGATCCCAGGGGGATCGCAGCGCAACGCCGGGAGAAGCGCCGTCGGCGAGCTATCGACGAGGAGGATGTA